CAGAAATACAGCATGACTTTCTTTGTTGTTTTTAGATAAAAATGGCAATTTCTTCAGGCTTGCTGTGCTTTTTTTTTTGTAGGGCTGCACAATTTGGCCAAAAATTGTGTGATTACATATCAATATGACTATCAAATAAGAACCATTAAATTAAATAAAGTAATAATTAAAAAATATGAAACAATCAGAAATAGTACTATTGCAATATTTCAATGTAAAATAAGAACAATAATAATTTATTTGACAGTACTACTACAATACTAATATTTATGGCTGTCTTCATTTCTTAAATTACAAATGTTAAACCTTTAAAGCCTCTCTTTTGTTGATTTGTAAGCACTTCTTGTTGCAGGTTTGTGAAGATGTTTGGCATGTGTTTCATTCCCAAATGCACATAATAAGCGACTCCAGAGCAGATGCAGAGATGCAGAGATTTTTTATTTGTGAACTGAGCTGCTCCGAGACTCTGAGAACACTGGATCGCAAGCTGCTCACATTTAAATGCATGCAATGCCGCGCTTCACTCTGAAACACACACGGCTTATGTTTATTTAACTAAACTGCAGCACTTGTGATTTCATAATCACGTGAAGCCGTATCGCAGTTTCAGTTTTATCTGGATTGATCATGCAGCCCTATACGAGACACTGACGGAGCGTTTCTGTCCGAGTTCAGGAGTGAACGTTAAAACGGGTCAGGTGTTTCCAGCTTCGTTCACATGTCGAGGACCAGCGGAGGAGCTCCGATCCGCTCGCACCTTCTCTGGTGCAGAGGTACATAGATGAAGCCGTCATGCAATATATAGCACTCATTAAAAATATCTGACTGCGACTGGCCAATCAGAATTGGTGGACTGAACTAACTGCTGTATAATCTGAAATATTGGTGTGTGTTATTGACAGATGGTTGAAGTGTATGACTCTAGCAGAGAGCTTGTGAAAATCGACCCGTGCAGATGGACACCAAACAACGACATGGCCTTCTGGCTGTCCCAAGATGATGAAACCATCCTACAGGTCAGAAATCCCCTCACTGCTAGTTTATTGAACCTTTAGACCAAATATGTGACCCTGGACCACAAAAGAGATTTATGCATCACCTGAAAGCTGAATAAATAAGCTTTCCATTGATGCATGGTTTGTATATTTGGCCGAGATACAACTATTTGAAAATCTGGAATCTGAGGGTGCAAAAAAATCGAAATATTGAGAAAATCATCTTTAAAGTTGTCCAAATGAAGTTCTTAGCAATGCATATTACTAATCAAAAATTAAGTTTTGATATATTTACGGTAGGAAGTTTACAAAATATCTTCATGGAACATGATCTTTACTTAATATCCTAATGATTTTTGGCATAAAAGAAAAATCTATAATTTTGTTACAATGAGATTACAACCCATACAATGTATTTTTGGCTATTTCTACAAATAACCCCCAGCGACTTAAGACTGCTTTTGTGCTGCAGGGTCACATATTAAAAAAAAGTTTGCATATGTGTTTTTCGTTGAGTTTCGTATATTATCCATCAGGCTTTTATGGCTCATATAGTCTGATATAGAGAGAATATACAAGAAAAAACAACAGAGAAACGATTTATTTATCAAATAAAAAGATACAATTCTGATGCTTGTAATGTAAATCAATGAGATCTTTATAACAGTATGGCAGATGCTTACATAAAACGATAGAGACATCAGTCGTCACTATGCATCTCCAATAATGTCTTTAAACGATCCAAACATACAATGCAATGCAATCCAATGCTGATTGAGAGATGAAGAAATAAACGCTCCTCAAAAGCCTGATGAGACGTGAATCACAAGCTGAAGGTGGAATTAAAAGGCCTTTTCATTGCTAAAAAAACAAAATGCATGAACTATCAATCAGATGGCAGAAGGCATGGAGTAGATTGTGAACAACATGCTAACTTTGATCATTTAGAGGCCTATCAGATATGATACAGTAAGGTGTGTTTCATCATTAAGTCAGATCTTCTCATTGATTTCTCGTCTGGTTTGTCCGTCAGTATTTGTCCACGTCTCCACATGCAGAACCTCCTCACTTCGTCCATCACATCAAATCCACCATCCAGTTTCTGCTGGATCACCCGACCGCAGACGGGCTGTTTCCAGGCGGTCAGCCACAGCTGTACCGCCGCGCTGAGGACGGCCGCTGGAAGAGAGCCTAAACGCTGACCTCTGACCTCTGTGACCCACTGTAACCCAACTAAAGGCCTTTGACGTCTGCTGTTTAAAGTAGAAGCTCCTTTACACTGAAACACACTGATTGAAGCTTAGATTGAGTGTTTAAAGAGTGACTTCTGCTCAGAGTGACCCTTACATAGAAACAAGAGTCTATGAACTATTTCTTTTCATTTTTATTTCATATTTGTTATGTATGTCAATGCAAATGTGTTCATGGATCATAAGACGTGTTCTTTATTTTACACTAACAGGATATGTTGGTTTTTTTCCTAACATCTCGCTGCATCTTATTTGCTCACTAAACATTAATTTTGGAAACTGTAAATACAGTATGTTGTGATCCTTTGAGGAGGAATAAGAGAATTAAAAGTCTTGCCAGTAAAAGCATGGTGTTTTGTTTATTTAAACTTTTACAGCTTGTCTACACTGACTAACTAAAATTGTAATATACAGTGGGTACGGAAAGTATTCAGACCCCCTTA